TTTAACAAGCACTGCGTCTCCGCGGATCAGCGCGCGGCGTATATGACGCGGGGTCGGAGGTGTCGCAGGTCACCGCTTACACCGGTAGTACCGTTTAATCTGTTTATTCGGCGAGCCAGTTAATCCTGAAGAGCGCGTTGCAAGATACAATGTCACGGTACCCATCAGGCAATTAAGTGTACACGCGCGTGAATGGGCGACCTCACGCGGGCAATGATTCCGAATAACGTCGAGTAGACGTTTTAGATGGATATTGATTACATGGTATGGAAATATGTGGACAATTAGTGGGTTTGGTTATACGACTGGCAAGCAAGGACGCGCGAAATTTGATTAATGAATCGAGTTTTGACAACATATTATTTCAGCGTTGCGCGAGATTGATTGAGAAATGTTACAGCACAGGATGACAGCTGATTTCTTTTTATACACATAGTTGAATCCTTAGATTCTTCGGATAACTCGAAGAATAAATATGAAATTTTATCTTCGATGTATTAAATTTTTGCGCACTTCGTTACTCATTACTAAAGATCGCTTTTGCAACAGGCAAGAATTTAATCGTAGAAACGATTATGGTAAACCGGGTTACTTAACTGAAAATCGAAAAGCGTAGAGGAGTAATCGATTCGGCTGCATTCGTACGGAGATAATTACTATGAATATTAGATTCTTGTTAATCGATGCTACAAGAAACGAGTAGAATTATTCACTCCGGCTAGCCGTGTTCGGCTAACTTTCGTTCCTTTCGCAAGCCTACGGAAGCATTCTCACGATCTTCGACCGATTTACGTTCCACCAGCGCCGTTTGGAGATAATGGCTCGGCGTGCGTAGGAAATTCTGCGCGCTGAATCACTTCATAACTTGGCGCAATTTATGCACTTGCAAAAGGGAGTGAATAACAAAGACGTCATTTAGAAAATCTGCTTTGCGTATCGATTGAGAAAAAAAAATGTTAGTCTATTCGTTATTGAACTACACGTTCAACCAGTGTAATCGTTCTATGAAATTCAGTTAAGACGAATTTCGGAGGAATTGAACGAACTACGTGAAACTCGCACGCCAACGCGGAACGATTCAATCTAAGAATTAACAGAGCGTCTTCTGAATATTCTCAAAACGATCGTCTCTCGGTGCGATAGGAAGACGTCGGTTCACGGGGGCGGCGGCGGCTCGATTTGAAATTCAGCCGGCGCCTGCACGCTCGATCGCTCGCGGAATAAATATTCCTCTGATCGTTCCGTTGCTCCTTTTTTCACCGATGATCGCGGTTCACAGGCTACCGATAGCCTGGTAACCTGCTTTTAAATCCTCAGTCCCCTCTTAGACTCTTCGCAAATTATTTTACCAAAATACACGAGACATTTTGCATAATCGCAGGATTTAGTAGAAATCCGTGTGCAGCAGAATTTCTTTCGTAACAGACTGTAAATTTCTCACACGTCAATGCTTCGAGTGAAAAATTTCCTATATTTTAAAGACAGCTTATGCCACTTTGTGTCGGAAATTATCCAATTTTAGAAGATGATTAATCATCAACAGATTATCATAGGATAATGATTTCTCTTTTAAACTAAAGCTTGAAATCTCTATTTTAACATTAGTTTTAAGACAACAAAAATTGAAAAACGTAATATTTTAATGATCCCATAATCTTTTTGGATATCGTATTTACGAACAATTCGATATACCATTGAAAATTTTATTGGCCAAATAACTAACGATTAAGAATACTATAAGAATTGATACTGGTTCACGTACCAGCAGGAGAGCATCCTCCTAATCGTTCTGATCACATGGTAGTTCCTTGTCGCGGTAGCCGCGGTGTCAAGGTCGGCTGGCGTGGATCGCGGTTGATCCACGGCACGGGTTGAACGCACTCTTACTCTTCTCCCTTCTTCTCCGTGTGCCGAAGCACGCGTTACCTGCCGAGTCGACGGCCAGCCGAGCACTGGACCGGGTACTATTTACCCGTGTTCACCTGGTCGCGGCGTGAATCCGCTGCCCGAGCAGCAGATGAGATGATCTGTTCCTTCCGGGTTCCTGCGCTTGTCCTTTCTTCGACGTTGCTCGATGCTTTTTAAACTCGTAACGCTTGTCACAATACATTTTTATTTCATACTTATACATGTTTTTTAATCGTTACTCATTCTGTATTTTATTAATATATATTTTTTATTAACTATTAGTTAATCTATTTATTCTATTTATTGTGTTTTATTATTCTATTTAATCCAAGAGGTTGCTTCAATATTTTGACCTGCAGTAACCAATAAAAGACAGCACTTTAAAATTTGTATAAAAGATAGAATAAATAATTGTTCTTGATAAGATTGCAGGTTTCACTGAATCTTGTTAGGAGTCGAGCTCTTTCATCGATTGATTGATCGTTTTTCCTGTCTCCGAGTCTCGGTAACCTGTAATGTAATTGAATACGTGGACTTTTTTCTGGAAAACCAGCTTGACGCCGAAGGGGATCTACGATTAAGCAGTGTTACTCTTTAGACAAGTTAATACTTAATTACGTATTAACGAGAGAATTATTAAGCTGTCGTTCTAAGAGTCCTCTGAAGATAATTCGATATTCACGTCAATCAATCAGTTAATTAAGTCGAATTAATCTGATTTCGAATTACTTTGAACTTTAGCTTCTGGACTTCCCACATTTATATTCTCGGTTGACCGAATTTTGAGGAGATTCTTTTTTGTGTCGGTGAAAATCCACTCTCCCCGTAATATTCATAACTCTAATTGCCTAACCGACTCGTTACGGAAACGTTGTTTGGTACGCTAATAGGAACGTTTCATTCGGAAATTGCTATCAACGTTGTTTTAACGATTACGACCCGAGCGTGTAATGATTTCAGATCATGGCAGGCATCTAGTAAACACTTTGGAAAGTGTTCGGATCGTTTCGTTTCGCATCTTCGGCGAACGAGCAAAGTTTTACCCGATTAGCGGCAACGGCGAAGAGCGACGGATGCGATCGATACGTGTCGAACGAATTACACGCGACCAAGTGATTTACTTCGCTGATAAATGGTCGAATTAAAACGCCTCTTGTTCGGAGCGGACGTCGGCCGCTGTTTAAAGTGGACGCGGTTTCAGTTGCAAGTGAAAGCAAAACGCGTGCCAGGCAGTTTTTCAGCCGGAAGAACGAAACGTCTGAAACAAATTAATTGGCTACGAATTTTCAACCTATAATTGCGATCCTAAATAAATAAACAATTGCAGTCTTACAACTTGCACACAGAATACATAATGACGCAATTTTATTACATTTCCTGTTATATACCTTAATTACGCAAACATCGGTACATAAATTGTCCACCCTATAACATTTTCTTGATATGCTGTTTCAGTCGATTTAATCGAACCGAAAGTTGCACCTGTGAACACATATCTGTAAAGTGTTTAGCATTTCAAGTTCTATTTGATCCGTAGATAATCATTTAAAATTTTACTGCCTTGACGAACGGAAAAGGCGAGGCAATAAAACAAGAGCAAACCGGTTTTCCTTAATTGCTATCTAAAATGTTAGTGGGACAATTAATAAATAGATTGATGGTCTAATAAAAAATAGATGCGTACACAACTTGTCGCAAGGATGGAATTAGGAATAAGGCGAATCAATTTGCGATGACTGTATGAATGGTTTCGCTTTTCGCTAGACAATTGGGGCCATTCGCTCGCTTCTTTCTCTTCGAATTTATTCCAGAATATTGTGATTTATTGGAGTCGCAAACGAGGCGACGCGCATCGAATGGATTAACATTTCGGATTCTTATAGCCCATTCTATCCTACGCGGTGCGGCGCGGTGCGGCGCGTCGGCCTAACACGCGGCATAACAATGCGGGTTTTGCGTGGAAATGAGGTTAAAGAAAGGTGAATGCCAGGCGAATACCACGAAGGGAACATTACCGCGTGCTTGCCTTTTTTTTCTCTTCTCTTCCGAAACGCATAAATTTCTCAATGAATAAGCGAGTACGCCTGTCACGTTTAAGCATTTTCTAAATGAATTAAAATTAGTTAAACGAAAATGGCAGTACTTCATATTAGATGTAGTTAATTAATAAGAACTGAATATTTTAAGTCTATGAAGGATTCTTGTATTAGGAAAATGTTTCAACCCTTTCTTCTATCAATAATTTTCTTTTAATTATATAAATAAAGTCTTTATATTTTTGCATTCGTGTATTAATTTATCAGTTTTCATTTGGAAATGTTCTTAGCCATTTTAAGAAAGGGTATTGATTATTCACAGTGATTACATTTGAATAAATTCACAGGAGTTTATCTACAATCGATTCATTATATTTTTTTTCCTTGGATCAGCCGTATTTCATAAATTTGAATCATAAATAAATTATTAATCGTGTTCTAAGATGTTATTAAAAATTGAATGTTGAGATTATTATTTGATGAAAATTATTCACAGTAGATACTGCGAAAGCAGCACTGTCCACTGATGGAAAATAGCTGCGCGTGCTGAACTACCGATTGCATGTAAAGTTGTACAGATATCCCAGCATGCTCTCTGCGATTCAAATCCGCAAGTTTGTCGTCAGACTGTTTCGTAGACTTGGTAAATGCACCGAGTGATTATTAAAGAGTTTAAATATTGAAGTTAGACGAAAAATTCATAGGATCTTTCTTGTAGAGGACGTCTACAACTCCTATAAAAAAGTTTTTTCGCTAACATCAACAATTAATTAATAAATAAAATTGCTTATTGCGTATATCTTTTCTAAAACTGGTTGTTCACTGTCCGTCTGCTTGTATGGTATCCGGAAGTCGTATGTTTTTTTGTCCTTTGCGTGTTGCAGTAATGATAAAAGCAAATTTTCACACAACGCTAACTGTCTACATTGATAAGAAATTACGATACGATGGCTGGATGCGATACCCGTTACAACGATAACGTTATTTCCTTATTTCCACCTCCTCCTTTTCTAATTCCTGATTCCCCTTCCCTCTCTGCTTCTACATATAAGCATCTCTAACTGTGCAGTCTGATGAAACGTCAGCTAGTGCGCGGTTCGTTGTGGTCGATGCTACAACGAATATGTAATTAATCTCTTCATTTCATAGTTTTCTTTCAAATATCAAGGTAAACTAAATTTAAACTTCATTATACTGAAATAAAATTGAATTAAAAAATATATTTGCAAACATTTGATGGATATTCAAATTCTATTATTTTTTAAAGATTTAAATATATTTTTGTCTACTAATATTTCATTTTATTCACATTATTCTTTTACAAACAGTAACATAATTACATAATTGTAATAATAATTGTATCAATGATATATTGGTCAACAAAACTTTATCAGCTTCAAATATAAAAATGTTTATCTAATTCTACAAATGTCTAAGCAGATTCCTACATCATGTCTTCGTTTGCAACGTTCCTCGTCGTTGTATGGATTTCGCTGATACAACTCATGGTAGGAGGGAGCAATGTCGAGACAAACGCAGTAAATAGCTGTTCGCTACCGCAGGCACTAATTGATGAAATAGATGCGTATGGCCCGTTGGTTGAAAAGATAATAAACCAGACCACGAATGGCCCTTTAAAAGGAAACACGTGGTCAGAATTGTCTGACTTCGTCGACAAGTTTGGTCCCAGATTAAGTGGGTCTGAAGCATTAGAAGATTCCATCGATTACGTACTGAGAAAATCACTTACGTATGGATTGGAAACAGTGCACGGTGAACTCGTCTCTGTGCCTCATTGGGTCAGGTAAAAATATTTTATTTAATATTAAATGATTAAGATAGAGTTTAATAAATTTGCATGACTTTGATAAATTGGGAATATTAAATTATTTCACACAATTGTTCCTAACAATTGGAACAGACGAGTGATTTTGTATTAAATTTTTCAGGGGAAAAGAATCAGCAACACTTTTAAAACCGAGGTACAAAGATCTCAGTATTTTGGGGCTGGGCTCCAGCGTTGGTACTCCGCCGGATGGGATAACTGCTGAAGCTATTGTAGTAGACAGTTTTGAGGAGCTTGATAAGAAGAAGAACGAGGTACCTTCCGAAATTTTTGGCTAAGATAATAATAGATATCAGTTGATAAAAATTGTCGATTTCATTAATCGGTTAATGCTTGCCTGATTAGAACAGACGTTAAAAGATGGTAAATGCTTCGATAGATTAATGAAACCTGATTTAGGAATCATGATCTTCATGATCAGCTGTTAAAGATATTCGATTAATTACTTAATCGTTTATAATGAAAGCAGGTAGATGCATTAAATCGATTGATAAAAGTGTAATCTATCATTGATAAGCCGCAATTATCGGTTATCAGTTACTGATTCAATGTATTTCTGTTTTCCTAAATTCTGTCTGCCAGTCTCTCGCTAGGAAATTATTTTCGATTTATTTATCCCTTTGATTAATTGTTAAATCGTTGCATGTAAACAATCAGCAATAGAATTTCAGTATCTAATCGAAATAAATGATCGTTTCGGTTTATTTCAGGTACCGGGAAAAATTGTTGTATATAATGAAAAATACGAGTCTTATGGTAAAACGGTCGAGTATAGAACCAGAGGAGCAACGGTGGCCTCTAAATATGGGGCTGTTGCTGCTCTGGTCAGGTCAGTTACTCCGTATTCGTTATACACTCCTCACACGGGTATGCAAGATTACGGAGAAAATGTGACCAAAATCCCGGTAGCTTCTATCACGGTCGAAGACGCGGAGTTATTAAAAAGAATGTCACGCAGAGGTGAGACAATATTACTGTCTTAGTGATTTGCAAATATTAATTTCTAACTTCTTTCTGTTTCAGGTCATATCCTACAAATAAATTTAAAGATGGAAGCACAAAATTTGCCGGATAAGATCTCGCGGAACGTGGTAGCCGAAATAAGAGGTACTCAGAATCCGCAGAAAGTGGTAGTCGTTTCTGGCCACATCGACAGTTGGGACGTCGGTCAGGGGGCGATGGACGACGGGGGTGGAGCGTTCATTTCATGGCAAGCTTTGAAGTTGTTGAAGCAACTCGGTCTCAAGCCGCGACGAACGATAAGGTAATTCTAATTAAACAGCGAACGGTTTTAATGACGAACAATCTGAACCTGAATTAATTGTGTGCAGAATGATAATGTGGACGGCCGAAGAAGTAGGAATCGTGGGCGCTAATAATTACATAAAAGCTCACAAAGATGAAGAAAAGGATTTGCAATTCGTAATGGAATCGGACGGCGGCACGTTCATGCCTTACGGTCTTGAAGTCAGCGGAAACGATCAAGTCAAATGCATTTTGCAAAGAATTATGAAGTGAGTTTCAAAATGGAGAAATAGTACTGTCAACGTATAAGCATGTTAAACTTCTTAATTGTTTCCAGACTGTTATCTCCACTGGGAGAAATGAAAATACGTTCTCTTTGCGAGGGGCCTGACATCGCAGAGTGGATAGACAACGGTGTACCTGGCGGTTCTCTTTGGAATCAGGATGAGAAATACTTTTATTATCATCACACAAACGCGGACACGATGTTGGTCGAGGATCCAGAAGCTCTCGACAAGAACACGGCCTTGTTCGCTGCGGTGGCATACGTGCTTGCCGATCTCAGTGTCGATCTGTCGCGTGACAAATGATTTATCAACGTCGACGATAATTCCAAAATCAAATACGATGTTGAAAACTCTTAACGAAATAAACATAAATAAGATACGAAAATGATATTTATTTAATTTAAAGTAGAAAACCCACAATCTAACATTTTGGTTGAAATTAAATTGGAAAGAATACTCAGTTTAACGTTCACAAAGTATTTTAATCTTTTTAATCTTCTTTTTTTTTTACACAGAATTGTAACATAGAAATATTTAGGCCTAATCATCCACGTGGTCGTAATTTCTTCGCTACGCTCAAGTATTACAAAGTACATATTCTGTAACCACGAGGCTAGGCTCCCAACGTACGTATCTTAAATTGGTCTCTCTGGTCTCAACGTAGTATATTAATCGATACTCTGAACATCGCACTAGGTCATTTCTTTATTAACTCGCAATCTACGTTATGGAACATTTTCTAAATTCTCGTGCTACGCCAATAAACGCCTTTAACCGCTACGTTTAACCGAAAACATTGTACTCCTGCCTATACATAAATGAAATACATCTCGACAAAAGATATTTTATTAAATACTCTGTAACATCAAATGAGACGCGTAACAAATATATGCACTGGAGTATCGGTCAGCGGTTAAAAGTTATTTATTTAAGCTTCGTTCAGTCTCGTCGCGGTGCGTAGAAGTTACCTATATCAACGTGTCTTCGTCCTGATTCGGGAACACCATCAGCAACGAATGTTGCGAGCTCGATCTTTGACTGACAGTCAATAGCGCCGTTTTCTCTGCACCGCTTCCATTGATCGAGCAGTCCGGCGAGCTTCCCTCGAAAACGTGAGTCGTCGTGCTACTGGTCGACGGTATGTCGTTCAGATCCGGCGAGGCTAATGGCGGCGCGTGAATCTGACGCGTGTTATTGTTACCGCCGTCCAAAGACACCAGTTGCATGCTGTAGGACTCGCGATAGCCGGACGTGCTGGACGTATCGTCGTCCCAAGAGACGTCCGACGTCTGCAGGTGAAGATGGTGATGGTGGTGGTAGTGATGGTAATGGTGGTGATGGACGTTCGCGTGCATTTGTTCGTTCGGTAGGCTGCCGCCCTTCTCGCAGTCAGACTGACGAATCGACGAGCTCCTCCGCGAACGAATCGATGATGAATCCGAGGCGATGCTAAAGGCCGATGATTCCAATGGTACGGGAGTCGGTGGTGTAAGCACGGCCGGCTGTTGGCTCGTCTGTGGCTGCGGCGAGATATTACTTGGTTCTGATCTCGACTGCGCTGTCTGAAACAAATATAATGAATAAAAATATTATATAAAATAAAAAGAAGATATTTTATTTCTGGTCCGGCAATTTGATATTAATAAATGTGCATTTACTTCTGCGGGAGTTCTTCGACTCTTTCGCAGCCGCAAAGTTTTCTTGCTTTGACCCATAGAGCGTTGTAACCGAGGTTTGTCTGGCCGGCATTCGCCTGAACTGTCCTCGTTTGGACTGGTTGGGCTGAGCTGACTCGTCACGGTTTCCCCTAACGAATTCAGTCCCGATTAATCGCCCCACGCCGTCGAATGCTACCCTCTATTCTACAATCTATCCATGCTGCTCCTTCAGAACTACTAATCGCAACCCGGACGTGTTCCCCGAAACGCCACCGACACCGACAATCGTGTTTCGTGACATGTAAGTTTATCTTAAACATCGCACTATGTCTACTGTGAACAGACACGTGAAACAGTTAAACTTTCATCTAATTAATCAGAGTGTAAACGACAGGATCAATTTTATTTACAATTTCGCATAGTATGTGAGATAATTTTTTGTAGAAGTATTAAGTCAAGTAATTTGATACAGTGTCATGATCAAGTATTGATTAATATTCGGTCTATTGTTAATAGTAATTTGGTTGTTAGCTTGGAACGACTGTAGAAAAGTGAGTATTATATTAATAAAATATAGGGAAACAATATTAATAGAATATACAATGTGTTTTAAATAGTCCTCTGACGCACGCATTGTCAGAGATAACAAATACGATTGAAACGATTCATACTCAGGACGTGTGTGTATCGCATAAGTTAATTGGTAAAAATATCGTGTAAATGAAAATGGAACAGAATGTGACACACGGTAACGGAAACGTAAGCATGCTAATGGCTTGCGCATGTATTCGACGGACAATTAATATTTAATTAAATATAATCTATGCGATGTTATTTACAACAAACGTAGATACACCGGATTGAGACTATAAGTAAATTATAGGGGCACGAAATTTACCTGATGAGTGCCTAAACTCTACGGAAGAGAGAAAGCGCAGTTTTGGCGCCTTTTGATGAGTTAATATAGGATGAGGCTTTACATGGTTACGTTCATCGCTAGTAGTAGAAGATGGTTGGGATTTATCTGAAACATGCCACATTTAACGTCCAAAATGAAAGGGGTAAGACGAGACATGGGGTTCAGGCCAGGTGAACGGTGTCATCGTTACGTTGCTATTATATTCGATAATCGTCATGGTACCTACTTCCGCAGTCTAAAATTTTATTCGGTTAAAGAGGAGATCTGAAACGAATGAAGTGATTATGCGTCCTTCTTATGACTCTTCACGAGGTTGCTTCGATTATGGAAGACCTGTACGAACATTTAAGCGAGACAAAACGCGTCAATGAAAAATTAATGCGATGAGACTGTGTTGAGTGCTCGGGCACGCTTGTTGAGTAAATCTGTGTCTGTTATGTATGGAAGAATCTGTTTTCGATTACGGACATAATTAAAAATGAAATTTAAGAAGATAGAGAGAGAAAAAGAGACAGAGTGAGAGACAGACAGAGAGAGAGAGTCGAAGCAACTACGCTGTGATAAAGTATAACTACTCTAACAGTGAGCAGGGTACCAACTGTTGGACATTACCATTGTCTAAATACTGCTATACAATATAATGTATATATATATATATATGTTATTACGAATGTATACAGAACGTGAAGGAACAGTGACAATAATAACGGAATAATCTAATAGGATGTTACACCGTGAAAATGAGATTTCGCATCTGATTTGCTTTCTTCAACAATCGTTTCAACATACAATGAGAAACGCAAAATCAGAGGGAACCAGTTGTTTTTTTTCAACGTGCATACGTGTGAATGTATACGGGGGACTCGTAGTTATAAATCTCTGTTCACGGAAATGATTACACGAGAAAAAACAGTAGCAACAAATGTGACCAGAAGAGAGGGACATCGAGTGGGAGGAAAGAGTGAATAAAGATCGGACGAGAATTACGAAACGTAGAGAAGCGTGAATACGGGAACACACCAGCAGTTTATCAATAGAGGCTGTTTATCAGAATTTGCTATTTTAGAGTGTGCTTACCTCCGTCCCCTAGCTAGCAATGGAAGCAACGGAATGATCAATAATAAGGCTGAACAGGGATAAACAATGGGAGAAATGATAAAGCAAAATCGTTGAGCAATGAGAACCGAGTTGTTGGACTGCTACGTATTTGGTAATAAAGTTCGATCGGGGCGTGAACGGGAAAGAAAATTTGCAAATCCAGAGAGTTCGTCGCAAGCCTCACTAGCAGGGAAGTGAAATGGAATGCGTCGCGGCGTCGTTTTAAAAAGCGAACGGAAGGAGGTGTGTCGCAAGAGCTTCGCAGATTTCGTCGCAGTGCCCTATAGACAATGGCTCGATCCAACTGTGGTATCAAACGTCGTCGCTTGATCGCTCAGTAGAACAGCGAAACATTTATGAGAGGCTTGCAGTCGCACCGTTAAATATGTATCTTTAACGTCAGAATCTTTCTTTCTTTGCTAAATGTTTTTCGACAGAGATCGAATACCTGTTGATTGTTGCTGCTGTTGCTGCTCGGCCAGCGGCTGTTCGCTGATGCCAGCCTCGCTGGCCTCGCGAAGAGTGGAGGAACCACCGCTCGTG